CAAAGCTTTACTCAGAATTGAAACCTCAGCCAGAGTGAATACTATTACAAAACATCAAACATGCTAATTAATAATTAATTCTTCACGATCTACACTTAGGCATAACAATACTATCTCAAATCAATATTACTCATTTAATTTAAATTCTCTTAATTAGATAGAGTTCAAAATATTTAACTATAGTCATTATTTCAGTGTTCATTAATTCTCTTCATTAGACAGAGCTCACTGATTCAATAATCCTTAAAATTTCCTATTTATACTAAACAAAAAAAAAAAAAAAAGAATTCAAAAGTTCACTCAAGATAATAACATGTTTGCGAAGTCGCATTGTCAATTAATTCACTTACTTCATAGTCATTTCAACATTGATAAAGTCAAATAAACATGTCACTAGAGTACATATTAAAATTTCGCCCTTAAAGTCACTTAATTATTCTAATGTAATTCTTTCGATTATTTAGAGCTCGCACATCATGTTGAACGAATTTGTAATGTTCTCTCTCACAACTGTTTTACTTACTTCAAAAGATTCGATTCAGCGCGTTATCCCGAGACAACAAAATAAAAGAAACTCTTCGCGAATTTTATCTGGACTGACTAATTAATCTTACTGTAGACTCAAGGCTCAAGACTCTAAGCTGAAATCATCTGAAGACTGAACTAATCCCAAAATTCCGAAACCGCTGTTTTTGTATTTTTCGATCCCCCCAAAAATTAAGGGCATGTCCATTCATCAACCTGCCTCTTTTCTAAGAAATATAATTGTTTGTCTGAAACCGTATATGTCGCAATTTTCTGGATTATCGGGGTCAACAGAAACAGATTTGAAAGAATGCGGAGGACACCTAATTCAAAGAAAAGCCGCACTCGTGCCGGCCGTAAATCATGATTTTATTATAATTCTGTCACTTTGGGACCCAATTTAATTACTCTTTCCTTGATTGATTGAATCTTGCAAAAAATGATGATGCAAATAAGCGCGAAATGAGAATCGTGACTGTTCATGGATAATTTTGTAATTAAAGAATGAAGGTTTTCATGGCCGGTAGCTTTATTTTAGTCAGTGTTTTTTGGGTTTATGGGCCCGGGTACGTAGGTATTAGATCCTGATGTTTTGCCTACATCGTACAACTGTTGTAGGCAACATCAGAGGCCATGAGGTTAAGACACAAGTATTCACCGTTCTCACTTAGTATTTTGGATTCAACTAAATTTGGAGTGAGAATTCCTTGTATAACACCTACCGCAGTGTTTGTTTGAACCCGACAAGGTAATAGAGGGAGGAGGAATTCAGTGGAGTTCCATTGACCTTTTTCTTTGTTTTCCTGTAGATAATACTCATGTTGACACCGAAAGCGCTCTACTATAAAATTGATTAACAGAATTTGCATAGAATATGGAGTTCCTTGTAGTTTAATTCTTTTCAAACATACACAGCCTGTTTTTCTCTATTAACAAACTTTATTTATTTTTTGTTGATTAACTTCGTGGGTGACGAAGGGTGACTTACTATAAACTACATGCAACAATATGTTAATATTTATTCCAACTTATTGAGGAAAACCACCTATTTGAAATATTATTTCTTCTAATCTTAACTTTTAAAAAAATTTTACTATAAAAAAAAAAGCAAATGATAAATGTTGCATCCTTGTATCCGCTGTGAAATTGATGAGAACGGCGACGCGCCACGGAAAAAGGTACCGAAGCGGAGGGGAGATAGACAATGAGAGACTAGAACAGAGAGAAGAAGGTTGTCTGCCATTGTTCATTATCCAATTTTTATTTTGTAACAAACTGATTGTTCAATTCAATTTGTGATTAGTTTGTGTGTCATAAGGAGCATTCACAGGTCAGTGGAATAATTGTTATTTTGTTTTAGAGAGTACAATTTATACAAGTATTATTTTTTTATTTTTATGTTTTTTTGTTTGTTTATAAATTTTTTATAACATGTGCATTGTTCTTGTATTTAACAAAAATCAGTTCATGCTGTAAACAACGCAGAAAAAGTAAATTGAAATCTAAAGAAATTATATGCTGTGATTTTTATTTTTGGTATTCAGAGCATACATTAGGGCCTTGTTGAATCTACCTACTAACATTTTCCTACCCTGACAAGCGAATATCCTGGCAAACAAATTGAAAAAGCAATATAGAGTTATTGGCTTAAAATAACAACTATAGCTTAGTAGCCTCCTGTACGGGACCTCAGTACCTGCTGGTAAAACAGGCTAACTTACCAAAAACTCTCCAGTATTGAATATAGGTAGTGTTGATTGAGTGTAGTGTGTGGAATTGAAATTTTAGCTAAACGACAATGACGCTACCTGATTTAAGTTTAAGAAATTATTATTTATTATTGAATTACAATTAAAATTATTGTTAAACTGACAAAGTATGTTTTGATTTTTGAGGAATGTTAGATCGAGGGTTTCTCTGCCATGCTCTTTCTCCTCGTGAGTTCCAGGTCGAGAACGGTACGATTTACTTTAATAATAAAGTAGACGTATCTCAAATGTTTCGTTTATTTTACATATCACAACTTCCTTTAAATTTCCCTAATTTTGCTATTGTTAGGCGCATGTCAAGTAAAATTGAGTAAGTTTCCACAACGTAGGTCCTATTTGGTTTTGATTTCGTTTTTAAGAAGATTTGTTAAAAGAAGAGGTAATAAAAATTCGCACCATTCAATCTTGCTGAACGAACCTGGGTATGTTATACTACACTATAAGGTGTTATGGGATTGGCTATTGGATAAATAATTGGGAGTCCTACCTGATGCTGTAGGTTTTTGATTAGAAACACTGTTCAGTTTCCACGTCCCATTCAACCATTTTCCTAAAGCTCATTGAGGTCTATGCAACGGCTTCAATCAGCAGTAATGTAGGCCTAGAAATCTTCCTTCAAGAGATATGAACAGTCCATAGACGAAGGCAGCGTGACAAAATACTATCATCATGAATAATTTTCATTCCAAAGTTAGCATTCGGGTACATATTAGGTAACTTTTTGTACCCAGTTTTCAAGTTATTCAAGAAAACCCTAAAAAAGACACCTTCAGAGACCACATCAGGGGTCGTATTTTCGAATTCATTCGAGTACATTTCGTATACGAAATTTGATTGACAGCAATGTAAATTAAATGGGAAGTATTCGAAATCGAATCAAATTTCGTATGCGAGAATATTCAAAAATACGACCCCTGCTCGTTCCCAACTCATCCAGACTTTTAGTATTTTATTCGGGATACCTAAACATACATGTATACTAAAATTGACTTCTACACGAATTATTACCCCTATTCTTTTTTTTTGTCTTCGTCGCCTGGACTATAATATAGGAATTTGCATCTTCCAACAATGTCAACAGACACACTGACCGGTAAGATATACGCTAATTGCATGAGAATTCCAAGCGGCACCAGGATCAAGATGAGGCTTCACTCAATAAGAACCATCTCACAAAATCGGCCTTCAGACTTAGTCATTTGACAATGAGCAAAAAAGTCATAAAAATTACATAATAATGCTTTAATGGAAAACAAATTGAAGCATGTTAAAGATTTTGTTGAAAGCCAAGGAAATTTTGACTGTAAGAGAAATGCAGAAAAAATAAAATTGGAAGTTGAACAACTACAACGACCAATGAAAGTTTGAAGAGTCAGATGGGGAAAAGTAGTCTTACTAGAACGACTATAGCTAGAGACGCAAAGATTACTGAAGCAAAACCCTGCTATAAAGTAAAAAAGCCAAAGTTTAAAATATTGAAATTGTTACAGAATTAAGCCTTTAGAAAGAATGAGTTTATGAAAAGAGAAGAAAATGGGAACCTAGAGAAAGACGGATTGAACTCCAAAAATATTATGTATTATGTTAAACCAAATAGAGACTATTTTTTCTAGAGAAACGGTGACAATTTAAAATTGTGGGTTGAAGTATAAATTAATAGTTATGCTAGCAGAAGTATCGAGAATGTTTTGCGCAACACTACGGATAAGATAAAAATAATACTAATCCACCTGCAAATTGGAAAACTTCTAATGCACAGGCAACGTAAATCAGAGTCTATATACAATAACGAGAATAGATCACTTGAGACCATTCGTGAAGATCAAAAAGTGCAACTTAATGATCGTAGATCTTTTCACCAAATTCACATGCCGACAAGCCTTCGATTTGTGAAGAGAACCAAACCAACTGAGAATGTGAAATTTTCGACAGACTGTTTCCATATGATTAGAAAACAGTTGAATACTTCAGAATTATTCCAGATGGAGGAAATGCTTCAACAGAAGGTAAATCATTTAAAGATATGTGTGAGAAAATTCAGATAGATGGTTAGAATGCCACATCAACATCTAGAGATAATACGCAATGCGAAAAAGTTAACCGAGTAGTAAACCCATCGTCAGCCAGGCTAAGCCAATAAGAAGATGAAGTAGTTTTTGATAAACGAATAAATGAATTCAAAGATGTTATAGTATTGTATTGAGGCAAGTCGAGTACAAACTTAGAGTGTCCAGCCACACCGCAAGCTGTTGATGTTGCTTTATGATTACTTGCAATCTCCTTTCAAAATCACAAGATTTAATACGATCTGAAGAGTTTAGGGAAAATACAAAGGTTTAGTTTCGTCTTTTTTTTCACACTCATCAGATGAGGAGATACCACATACAGTGTCATCAAAAATCAAAGATGTTTGTCAAGTACATAACGTGCAATGAAGTAAAAATTATACGATTCGTCAAGCAATACAATTTTTTCCTATAGTTTGATGTTGAGTTGCAAGATAAGAGAAATTCAACAAGATCGCTATATGACGTTGAAATATGAAATTAGCAATGAATTTGAGCTAAAAAACACTATTGTTACCTAGACCGAATATAAGGAAACTAATATTGTAGTATAACGACTACCAAACGATCGATATAGAATCGAGGATCTACTGGAAAATAAATATACTTAAAACATTTCATTATAGAGTTGCTGTGAAGGATGCACGGAAATCATACAGCCCATCTTGAATATTCGGATGAAGAAGAATTGAAAACCGATGTTTGCCTTGGTTTTTTCCTTATGGTTTTGTTCACTTCCTCGTATTCTGAAGTTGGTACGTATATTTCTCGTTCTAGGTTATTAGTTATCCCTTTTTGTAGTAGTTGTTAATTTTTTTCCCACAATTGGGGATTTTATGTGCTGTTGCGCCTTATAAAATATGTATTTTTCCAGTTATATGTTTGTTAATAACGCCATTTTTCCATCGGCTACCATGTCTCATGCTGAAGTTTGAATTCATCAGGCTTTTTGGTATTCTCTATATCTGCTATAAGTTTTTGTGGTTTGTTCGTTTCCCGGGTGCGTTTTAATTTACTGTAGCTGTTAAGAAACTCACTGATCATGTGTTCCTCTTGCTGAGTATGTAATCAAATTGGTTTTTGGTTTTGCTTCAGAGCGTATCCACCAGATTTTCGACTATTTTTTTTTTTTCTAAAAAAAGATATTGATGCTGTGGTTTTGTTGTGCTTCAAGTCATTAGACACATCGTCGACTTCTTCATCGTCAAAAAGCTTGTAGGTGGATAGGCTTATTTTCAAGTTTGTTTCTCTTTATGAAACATAGGGGATAAAGTTGCCACATAGAACACTTTGTTTTATTTCTTGCTATTTTGTTATGATCCCTCGAAATAGGCCTTTTCGAACCCTTGTCCTTCCATAGGAGGATCTCTCCACCAAAATTTTTTTGCTTGAGGAGTTGAAATACTCAATACTAAGTTGTTACCTCATTTTGCCTCCGCCCTCATATTATCGTACAGCATTTTTGTAGAGGCAACCATAGTCTTTGGTTTATTTCACTTGTAGGTACTATGGCGTAAATTCCACCTTTGCTTAACATTGGTTCTGGAATCGGGTCACTTTAAATCCATTGATTTTTGAGTCACTTTTATGTGTCTATTTACTGAAACTGAACGAAATGAGCAATGCTTCCATTAGTGAACTTTATTCCAAAGCAAAATTTAAAAGTTTATGTTACACTTGATGTAAAATATATTTCTAGGCAAATAGCCAACAACCAAATTCTCTAGAGAATTGGTATGGTAATTTAACAGAGCAAGTGCTTCCGATTATCACAAATTTTAAGTGCGGACCCGCAATTAGCAATCTTCAGTTTAACTTTAAGCCCATGACCCAAAAATTTGGCTTGGTAATAAGTTCATTAATGCTGCCGGACTGAGGGAGACGTAAAAAGCTCCTCTAATAATATTTATAGCAACCCTCTACAAAATGATCAAACGGCTACTTGAATATTCGCCTCTGCCTAAAATAATACGTAAATAGCTTAGAAATTAATTGTAGGTATTTTCAGTTACCTACCAATTATCTCAACAAATGAAAATTGTTTCAACTGTTGTTTTTGTTAATTAATTTTACAGTAATCATACGAATCGGAAATATTATTTAATTCACAAATTATGTTTTCAAATGACTTCGAGTCTTCCAATATTTACCTTCATAGAAAATATTTTCATTTAAAATTTAATGGTATTTGATTTCAGAATATATACCAACCACAGCTTTTCATGTTAGACAAACAATTTTAACCATAAATAGGCTAAAATAATTGTGGGTACACGGTACACACTTTCAGAAGTAATTTATAATGACAGTATGCGTTCAATAATATGTATTTATAGTTTTGCCGCACTGATAAATAAATACCTTCATTTTGAAACACAAATTACAGCTGCATTTTACTGAACAAGTTAATATTGTAATATGATAATTTTAAATTTACCATATTATATACATAATTCAATATTGCAAATATAGGGCCATGGGCTTGTTATTGACTACGTTTATTTCACACGTTGTATCCGGATACTAAGTGGATTTGATTAATTATGGGGATTAATATTCCTAAAATAAACACCTTGAATCTCGGATTTGAGAAGTTTGCTGCTAACTTCAAGAAAAAATTACCTAAAGCTAATAAAAACCTGGAAGTGTATCCGCTGATTGCCTTTAATGAAGTTAGATACAAGCTATTCGCGCTTGCACTTTTAACAAGGCTCAAGAAAGAATAAGCACTAATCTTAATCCATTTAATAGTTGTGAAATAAACGATTATAGATTAATAATGCTTAATCCACTGGATACAAGGCATGAGATAAACGTAGTCATTATTAATATCGGGTGATAACCAATATACTGTCAAATGCACAATTGGATAACTGAAGCATTGCTGTTGCATTTTGTTAAAATGTCTTTTAAGATTTTTGAGCAGTTTGAAGTAAATAAACTTTCTCGCGCTCTCCGCTTCTCAACACAAACTTTGAATGTGTAAGTCATACGTTTTTCTTGTCAGATGCTGTGGGTGCGGTAAGTCCGCGTTTTCGTTGCCCCGCAAACGGCCGTGGGGACCAGCACCCACGCAAGAGTTACCCTATTATGACTGGCCAAGTATAAAAAGGGGTTGCAGGCAGTGCCACAATAATTTTGAGTTTATCTGTTGGCATGCTAGAGCTTTGATTGCTGCTTGGCTGACTGAGAAGTGCGTGATATCCGTGTGTACATAGCTTCTTCTCAGATTTTTCCGCAGGCCTATCTCTATTGCATGTGGTGTGCTTCCCCAGTGGAGAAAGCTCTTGGAGATAGGCCATATACTCCGGTACCGGTTTCACTGTCAGTTTTGGAGCAATCAGTGTACTGAGGAAAACCACCTATTTAAAATATTATTTCTTCAAATCTTCACTTTTTAAAAAAACATTTACTGAATAAAAGTAAATGTTGCAACCTTGTCTGCGCCATCAAACTTAGGGGTGACCGCGTTCGACCACAAGGAACGGTGCTGCGAACGGGAGATAGAGAAGACGCAACGAGTTTTTTTTATTTTTGAGAGTTCAATTTATGCGAGTTCCTATTATTTTGTTCATTTTTATGTATTTTTTGTTTGTTTATAACATTTTTTTATAACATGTGCATAGTTCATGTATTTAACAAAAATCGTTTCATACTGTAAACAACACAGATAAAGAAGTAAATTAGAGTCTAAGAAATTATGGGCTGTCTTTTTGTGCTGAGATTTTGATTTTGTGGATTTAGAGCGTGTATTAGGGCCTTGTTGAATTTACTAACCTTTTCCTACCCTGACGAGAGAATATCCTAGCAAATTGAAATAGTCAATCTAGAGATATTGGCTCAAAAACACCTATAGCTGAGTAGCTCCCCGTATGGGACCTCAGTACCTGCTGGGAAACTGGCAAACTAACAAAAAAAAAAAAACTCTTCAGTATTGAATAAAGGTAGTGTTTATTGAATGTAGTAGTAGTTTAGGCTAATCCAATGGGATAATAATATGCGTAGTTCTTTATTTATAAAAGTAGAACTTTGCTTCGCCACACTTTTGTGAAACACGCTGTATACTTGTAACTAACATAATTGAAAACTTTCTGATATTACCTACAAGCCATGTATTAAAATTGTTTCTGAAAATCATTCATTCCAGAATATACTTCAAATGCGAAGAAAACACTGATGAGTCTCAATTTGGTTTTAAAAACGGTTTCGGTACAAGGGAGGCGCCGTTTAGCATTCAGGTTCTCATACAGCGATGTCTAGATGTAAGCATTGATGTATACGCCTACTTTGTAGATTACGAGAAGGCATTCAACACTACTCAACACGACAACTTAATAGCTATACTGAACAATATAGATCTGGATGGACGAGACATTCGGATAATAGCCAACTTGTACTGGAATCAGTCAGCGGACATAAGAGTAAACGGGCATAAATCTGAAGAAGTGCGCTTTACAAGAGGAGTCCGACGAGGCTGTGTGCTTTTTGCCCTTATTTTTGATTTATTTGCAGAAAGAACTTCCAGAGAAGCCGTTGAAGACAGAACAGACTGTATAATTGCGAATGGAATTGTTATCAGCAGTCTAAGATATGCTGACGACACGGTCTTACTAGCAACATACACAGATGATTTATAGGAACTCTTATCAGCGGTAACAGACCATAGCCAACAAATAGGTCTACGTTTAAATATAAACAAAAATATAGCTAACAGCCTAAAGAAAATCAGCATGAATGATGAATGGAGAAATGGTAGAGGGAGTACAAACATACAAGTATCTAGGCTGTTGGGTGAATGGAAAGTGAGCAAGCAAGAAAATGCAACAAGTGCTTAACAGAGCTCTGAAAATCCTTTTAAGAATACGCCTATTACTCTGCTATGTATTCTGCATACAATCTTATGGAATGGAAACATGGATACTCACTGAAATAATGTGCAAAAGAATTGAGGCTTTCGAAATGTGGGCTTACCGAAGATTGTTGAGGATATCGTGGATGAATAGAGTGACGAACGAAACGGTTCTATGGCGGATGAACAAAGAAAGACAGGTACTTGATACAATAGAAAGAAAAACCCTGGAGTATTTTGCCCAGTAATGAGAAATTCGAAATATGATTTTGCTCTGTATAATTATTGAAAGAAAAATAGAGGGGAGGAAAAGCGTATCATATAGAATCATCACAACGATACTGTTTAGGACCGCAGCGGACAAAGTGAACATCATGCGACTGATGACTGATCGCCAATTTGCTAGGAGGACAAGGCACTTAGAAGAAGTAGAAGTCATCTAACGGCTCAGTTTAATTCAGTACTCACAAAAAAGTTCTAAGTACGCCTGAAGAAGTTTTTTACTCCAAAAAATCAATAAAACGTAGGTTGAATTAACAAAAATTACTGATGTTTGACCATTGCTACTATATTGATTTTTTTACAGATAGATCGTTAAATTAGGCTCTCCAAACCACGTGATTTTTCAATATGGCGACTGTGGCAAATTTGACGTTTGATTGTTTATCTTGAGTCAATTTGGAATATTTTCAAGCTAATTACAGCTTACTTTGTTATAATATACTTTTCGAGATGCAGAGTGAATATTCAAAAAATGTCTATTTGACATTTGTTTACATTTTGACCTAGTTCTCACAGCAATGAGCAAATGAAGGCCTACAAAAGCTTGGATTCTTACAAGTATTTCGAGTATGGCTTTATTTTAGATGCTAGAACAGTGGTACTGAATAATTTCTACGTTTCTTC